TCTTACAATACTGTCAATGCACGCGGGTAGCGCGGTGGGATGCGCAAAATCAGCTATGTATGGTTCACTGACTACTTGGAAGAATAGGAACACTTTAATTCACCCCGTAAAAAGCTTATTTAGAATGCAAATTATTTGCGTATAAATTATACGGTATATAAAGAATAATTTGTTTATTATACTGAATAACTGTATACGTTTGGACAATTCAAATTGAATTTTGGTGAAATATTTGTGTGACATATAAATATTAAGTATTATTATTCATACCATACAATAGTATCACAGATTATATGGTTATATAATCTGTGGTAGCATAGTCATATATTATATACTAATGTAGTAATGTAGCAGTGTAGATCACGTATCGCATTATGTTGTTATTGTGGACGGCAGTGGTATGATAATTTTTTAAGAATTATTGGGTAGGGTACGAATTTCTAGTGTAATGATAAATTATTATGCTTCATTCTTATATAGAAAACGACGCATGTGTATCACTAAGATACTTCGATAAAGCAGTGTAGATCGAGGTATGCGCTTGTGTCTTGCTCTACTAAAACAATGATTAACAATATTATTTATTATTTAATACAAATATGATTACCTATAAAAACAAGTAATCAAAGAAAAATTAAATAATAAAAATAAATTTAAGCATTTTTATAAAAACGATAATTGTGCTGTATAAATAATTGCTCCAAACAGGTTGTAATTTTTTAGTACGGTATGATTTTTTTCCAAATGGTCAAAGCGTGCCATGCCCACATCAACAACTACCAAATTAAAAGTTAACCTACTTAGATTTAATCGGTTTGAATAAATTGATCCAACAAGAAATCATACATGGTTTTATAATAATATTTTGATTTAGTGAAAATACGCTTATACCTAATGTATTATTTATTTATAATTATTTTAACTGACTAAGCCTTTTTTCATAGATATGTACAATTTGCAACTAATATAACTAGAAACAGCAAACTTAATACCAAAATATGGTTAAATGAACATTTGCTGACATGACATGAAGTTTAAATATAAGTAAACTTGAATTGGATCTTAGCAAATATAAAAACCTTAAGCACTTGGAGATATTGAGTGATAAACAAAAATAAGTATACTCCTCCGAGAAGCTATATAGTTAGCTGGTAATTGTTAATAGAGCATTAGAACGTACTCAATACTTGCATGTAAGGTTTGATGTCATCAGAAAAACAGATATTATTATATTATTATTTCAATAACAGTTAAATTCATTTTAATTTTGAAAATAATACTATGGAACGTGACTAGGAATTTACATCAGTTATTTGTAGAAAGTTTAGATGGAATTTAAAATGTATTAACCACTTTATCTAAAGCTTAATTATAATTAGACAAAAATTAGTTAGAATAAATTAAAGTTCCTTAAAAACCTGTAATAACGTGCAGTATTATAGAACCGGTCTAGCGGTTACTAATGTGTTAAAATATGTTCAAAGTATAAAAATAGTTAAATTATTAAAACTAGAACAGAGATCTAAATAAACAATTTCATTTATATATTATGACTATGCCGTGATTTTATGTGTTACAACCGAAAATCCATATGTTTACTGAGAATTTATCAAACACTTTCTATCTAACATCGTAAACAATCAGTGCACAAGTTATAATACAGACACACGCTCGTACCTATAGTAATATTATTATAAATCCAATGAGTCAATGAACCTTTAAAATGCGTCGGATAGAGCTGGTCTAACTTTAATATTATAATACGCCTGTATACATTATCAAAATAATGATTACTGTTTATTAGAAATCGAAGACGAGGATTTGGAGTTTTTCTTAGAAAATCATTCTAGTTTATTATGATAATTAACTATATTTTATGTAAATTAATAATATGGTTTAGGTAAATCATTAATCAAAACATAGATATGTTTATTCACACAGTTGTTATTTTACGTGTACAAACACCACGGACATTTAGTAGTAAGCTTGTACCTAACTAACTTGTAAGTGGTATATTATATTATAATAGCTGGATTGCATAGCTCCATAGAACTATAGAAGTATACAAAATACGAAGAGGATACATACGACGTACTGCAGCGTATATCGTTGGTAAAATATTCATCTTATTAAATCATGGTAATATCTCTACTGAAAAACTCAAGTCATTAAAAATCTACGAGAAGATAGTGCTGCATAGAGTATAGAGATATGTACAATGTACATATTTTATGATCTATGCATCCCTTATTTCTTTAATCCTTTTTGTCCCATCTGAGAATATATATTATAAAAGTATGTGTCCATACGCGTATTATATCCATTAAACGTACCTATGTAACAGTGTACAAATAATGTACAACATAGCAGTTATTACGACTTACGAGCGTCATATCGAAAACGTCCCGTTATGGTAAAATTACGAACACGGTCGATAATCATCATGGATATGGTGACGACGGCTGTGCCGGATTATCTTATATACCTATATACAAAAGACAAAACAGCATGTCTCAGGTATGGGCTCTCTGCAGCTGCAGGCTGTTCGTATAGGCACGTTGCGAATTTAAATAATATACGATAGTACATGTGCTGAAATGTTAATATAGGTACTGTTCACTGGGAAAATTGATTCTCCTGTATTTTATTATCTCGTGTTCGCTGTTAAAAGTTTGTTATCGTCCTATCGTCGTCCCGGCCCCTTACCTAGTCCTTTCACGATGTGTCTCACAACGTTTGTCACCTGTCACGAGGAAAACGATCCACTTGGTCGTTCAGACGTTATATATATACCTATATGCTATTAGCTGAAAATGCCCATATACCTATTTCCTCCTACGTATTTCTGTAAAACGTTCAACTATCAATGTTACTCCCTTCATATACGCAATAAATTATGTAATTTTAAAGATTTCTCATCATTTTCATTATAGAGCTACAGGGACTCAAGGCACTAAAAAAAACTTAAAATACATAATATGCTACAAATATGATTAAATATCAAAAAACGATATGAAATTTATGTAATTATAAAAGTATATTTTCTATATTTTCGTATCTACGACTATAATATAATACAGTCCATAAGCTATTGTTGGTCAAATATAGAGCCAAATGTTATTCATTAAGGATGCATTAATCAAATCTTTTGTGGGTTAATTTTACTACTCTTTTTCCTCATTTTATAGATAAATTGAATGTGAATAAAAAATATATATGTAAACTATTATGCAAAATATTTTGTGGTAAAGTAATATACTCATGGATTAAAAAGAATAAAATATGCGAAAAAAATTGGTTTACTATAAACTGGTATTATGAAACACTCAATTACACGAATGCATTTCTACATCACTTTGCTGCGAATTCTGTGTTATGAATGATTATCCTACGTTATTTTATAAAATCCACCGCGTTGGGCGGATAATAAATATATAAATAACTACTAATAATAAAATCCAATATATAAAGGTTATAATATTTACATAAGGTGCTTAGAAGTTCTGGTTTTGAGTCACTAAGTATTTAATATCCTGGTATGTACTATTGACAATGATTGAAAACAGAAAGTGTATCCAGCAGACAAAATTTAGATTTTTAACTTAAGTAATCATAACATGCTTTAAAATTAAAATATAAAAAAAACCGAACCTTACCTATGTAGGGACCTAGATAATATTCTTACCTTTAAATTTGATAATAGGTAAATTCGCTCTTGTTTTAATAATAACAAACTATTACTATTTTGAGCGTACAATTTGCTATACTATGCCTTAGACGGAGATAACAAATTATATTATGACGAAATCTTTCATAAAACTTCTTCGATAAAATCCCTATTGGGTCACTATTTAAAATTAAAAATATGAGAAATCGTAACGTCTTGTAAATAATATCTATTTTACTTTTCCTAGAGATGCACATTTCTATCATTTTATCGCCGTAATAAAAAATAGGACTCTGGTATGAATATGATGTATGTCTGCGCGGTCATGTTTAAAATTTTAATTTGGTATATTTGAAACTCATTCAAATATTAATATACCTATAGGACTTTATTATATGATTTATCAATTGACGAAATTCAGTAAACACATTATACCCAATAAGTGGTATAATGGGTATATAGTGGTCCATATAATATACCTTTAAGATGAATATACTAATGTCCAATATATACATAGGTGATAAAGGTATATAAGGTATAGGTGGGACTTGAGTGTAACAGGTTAATTTAATTATTAAAGTATTTATAAAATCACATTTAAAATGATCACCATTACTAATTATTATAAGTGCCTTGCTATACAATATAATATAATATGTATATAGTATATGATAGATGTATTGCACAGTGACATCAAAGATAAACAAATAAATCGGCTATACATAGGTAAAGCGCACGTTGAATATATATTATATGCATGTACAATATATTAATGTAATGTATAATATTAATAAAGGTAAACCCATATAATATTGTACTGTATATAGTACACGATTTACCGTACGAGATTCACATAATAATAATAATAATAATAATAATAATAATAATATACATCACTGCGGGGACGACCAAAAAATGAGTTTAAAAAACGTATATAACGCGTATACCGTCGGCAGCACCGCGGTTTCGGCGATTCACACACTCAAACACTCGCGTAGTGCCGTTGATTCGACGTGTGTGTGTGCGTGTGTGTGTGTGTGTGTGTGTGTGTGTGTGTGTGTGTGTGTGTGTGCGCGTGTGACCTGAAGCCGAAGCAGCAGCTGAGAGATTTAACGGAACCCGTCGGTTGTGTGCGTGCAGCAAGCGCCGCGAGAATGCGAGTGCGTGCGTGCGTCGGCGGTGGTTCTACCGAGGCGGCGGCGGCGGCGGCGGTGGAATTAGGTCTTTGGGTAACGACGATTGGTCGCCAGGTGGGAGGCGGATGGACTCGCGGCGGGTTTTCACGTGGCGGCGGCGGCCTCCGCGCCACCGGTCGAGTTGAGTTACCTGCGTGCGTGCAGTGTGTGATTTACGGTCTCGCCGGTCGCCAACCTGCAACCGCCGTCGTCGCCGTCGTCGTCGTCGTCCGGGTCCGCGTGGTCCGAGTGTGTGCGCGCGCGCCGTGTGTTCAAAATTTTGCGCGGAACCTTTTTTTTTTTCGTCTACTCCTCAAGTGCGTACTTTGCAAAGGACGTGGCCCGAGAGATCCTCTGTTAACGCGGACGCTGCACTTAGTATAATTATATAAATATATACTTACACGATACGATAGTGTCGGGCACGACGTAAGATAATAAATATATATTTTTTTTAAATTTAATTTTATCCGAGTTTTGGATTACACTCGACGCCTTGTCTGAAACGCACGCACCATCTTCTGGTTCACGGTACGTACCCACATAATACTATATCAGAATTTATATTATTATACTTATAACAACGTAATGTCTCTATCTGGTATTCAAAGTGGTATTCATTCTCATGGAAACATCTCTATTATTTCAAAAGTCCAGAAACTACCACCGTTAAAGTCTCCAAGGATCTTTTTCAACCATTAAAGTCGCCGGAAACATTTTCTTTAAATTATCTTTTCCCGTTATCTTTAGTTTCCAAGTTTATAGGAATTTTACTGAGAATTGCCTCTTGCAGGATAATAATATTATAGTTGCCTATCAACAAGTGGTTTTTTTTTCTATCGGTAGTTTTATATTCTTATAGGTAATATAGTTTTGGTATGCGACCATATAGTCTATTATGATTATAATTTAAACGCGTGACTTGTCACAAAATAATAATACAACTGCAGCACGTAGGAACCCACGTACATGTACGTGTATACTCACCTATATATTAAAAAATATTATTGCTTATATTTTTCTCACCTCTCGCTTCGGCTTATATCTATGTATACATTTGAAAATCTTACAAAACATGTTTTTCGGAAACCCCTTATTATATTATAAGAGTTGTGACAAAAAAAATGCATGTCCAATAGGCATAATATACCCATATATATTATGTACCTATATATATTATATACATTATATAAGATGATGATAGTTGCGCGGCCGTTCTCCAACGAAGCAATAACGTTTTGGACCCCCCTAAAAAAATTATTAGCTGTATAGATATTAACACCCCCCCCCCCCCAGCCATGATGCTAATGACAGCGTCAATAAATGAAACCTGTTACACGCCACAGACTTGTCTGCAAACACTGCGATGTGTGTAATAATAATAATAGTAATAATAATGTATAATACTATTGCTATGCAGTTTTCGGTCAACTCTTTTATTTTGCTCTTTATTCGGATCGCGCCATTTTAATGACCGTGCTCTTGCGGCTGTCATTGACGGACGGCCAATATTTGTAATACGCGGCAACTGGAAGTCACGATGCGTACGTTTCGTGCGAACACCACTCGTAAGTCGTATATAATATGACGCGCTATATTATTTTTATATTATATTATCATGTTTCTGGTAGTTGTGGTGATGTGCGCAGTTGTAGGTATTATATTATGGTATACACCGCGGAGACTTTTAACGAGGTATATATATATACATAAATACGTGTGTAAGCGGCATGGTATAGAAGGTCTTGTTATCATACAGCTGCACACTTCCGGGACCACGGCGGAAGCTAATAAGTAATAACGCGCAAGAGGTATTTTCTCTCCATAAAAAGGCTTCGATCATTATAATATTATGCGCGCTTCAGTGTTATTTTTTTTTGTCTTTTTTTACGATTGTCCATTGTCTGTTTTTCTTCTCGCGTATCGTATAATATAGGTACTTATATACCTTATACCAACGCCCACGAGCTGTAGTATGTGGACAATGTATATAAGAAATACTACTCACGCGCACACGTAAGCATTTCAACGGCTTTTTTTACTATCTCAAGAAATCATAACACGCATTATATATAACGTATCTAACCACTGTTGCAGGATACTCTCTGATTCTAAGCGTGCTGTGTATACTTATGTATAGTGTGTGTGTGTGTGTGTGAGTGTATCCAGGTTAGAGCCGAATGTGCTACCCCTCGGGGCACCGGTTTCTACGCACCTTTATAACCTCGTCGGAATTTCTTTCTCCGCCACGGTCTCGTTTATATATGTAGGTATACGACACTTCGAGCCTCATCTTGTATAAATCATTGTTGTATTTTTTAAGTCGTATTCGGACATTAGTTTTTAATGACTCCGCGGTTTATATTTAATTCATATATATAAATTATATACTTATTATATTCCCAGTGTAACTGTATCTATACAACGAGGACGTATAGCTGTGACGTCGTAAAGAAAAAATAACGAATCGAGTATACTATATAATATTATATATGGGTACCTATCATTTACCAGACACCAGACTTTTTCCTTCGCGTTCCTGTTTTTCAACCTTTTTGATTACGCTGCTACTGCAACTCTGGTCACCGGTAAAGCGTTGTCGACCGACAAAATTATTATTGACAAAACAACATAATATTTAACGACGTCGCGTCGTCTGCAATTCTGATAACCATCACGCATTACCATATTGTTATAACCTATTTTTATAGTATTTTAATGTTAATTCCATTTTATAGTAAAAATTATCCTACGAATGGGAATATTAGGAATTTAATTTACTTACATATAAAGTATTATGACTGTGAAGTTTGAGGGTAGGTTAGTGCAAGCACATCGCTCTGTGCAAGAATGTTAATATCTATATAATACATTTTTATATAATAATGTCTCGTTTATATCGCCCCCAGATCACAAACCTGGTTTGATTGAATTCAATTATATATAGCACTATGTATGTAATGTATTATGTTACAAAATAAATTTTCATTATATTAATAGGTAGTGACTTTGTTTATTTAGAGATATAGGTCTATGGATAGTGGGTACACTATTAAAACCATAACAAACGCTAAACATTTTTATGAACCTGTTTAAGTATCTTATTTAATGCAATTTATTAAATACGTAACTCATATTGTTTCTAATTCAATATAGGTGGGTACTAGAACTAGATAGAATTTTGGTAAATTAAAAGATACTATACATATTACGATATTAGGGGAAATTTCATCGTACTCATAACTGTTTAAAGTTTTTGTATGATTAACAGAAACAAGTTGTTATTATACAAAGGTTTAAATTATTCGTTGTTTGTTGCATAATTAATGTAATAATAATTATTGTAGACATAATAACGGGTCTGGGCTGAAGATTATCGCTAATTGCCAAAGTGAGTTTATGCACGTAATATAGTACTGAAATTGAATATGTGTATATATAATTAATATATCCATACATAGTAAATTTTTTTATCGCACGTATATATTATAACTACTACGAAAGTCTGTTTTCGGCTAAAACTGATCAGCTTTGTCGGAGAAATTCGACCCCTGACACGATATAAAAATTTATTCGTGCCTCCGAGGTCGTTGCCATTTTTTTTTTCACTCTACTCCGAACGAAATCTCTACATGACCGCCGGCGCAAATAAAACGCTGTGATATAGAAATCACATAAGTGTACAGTTTTTACACACACGCACAAACATGTATGTACATGTACACACGCTAACGCGCTAGTATATATATATATTTTCAAATTAGCGAGTGCTTAAATTTTGACGTGTAACGGATCCCCCGCGAGTCATTAGATCTGACAACGTTGGAGTGCACTTAATGTCTGACTAGGTACGAAACGCGTGTAAAGATCATAGACGAAAATATCCGTATAATAATGATAATGATGGTTTTTCTCCTTTTAGCTTCTCTCTTTTTTTCAGAACACATTTGACCTAGAAACTTCCTCGGTTTTTTTCTTATATACCTATAGGTTATAGTATACTATAATAATATGGGTAAACTGTATAATATATAATGCTGCACATTGTCAACTTGCAATAGTAGTGTTGCGCTATTACCGAACTGGTTCTATATACAATATTTTTTATAATAGGTACCTAACCCACCATAACATAAATTTTTTTTATTTGTTTATGCTTGAATTATGTTATATAATATCAGTATATACAATAATTACTAAATAGTACATAATATATTATTATAAAGATCGACAAGTGACATCCAAGTTGGTTAAGGTGTTGTGGATATATATAAGTCGTACCGTATACAGTGTTACCTTCTGTGTGTACCACCCATTTATAATAGAAATGTACAACCGATTACAAAAAGATATTTAATTCGTTAATCAATTAATATATATAACATTTTAATAAATAAATGTCTTGGTGTCGTACATGGAGAGGGAGACTCTGCAGAGAGGGTCCCAGTATGCGTGTCCTTCTACAGTCGATCAGCGATACACATAAAATATATAATGTATAATATCAATTCGAATCGGTAGAAAGACGTCTGTATAGTGATAATATTATTGCATAGTTTTCAAAATATACAATAAACAATAATACGAATGCCTGTCGCCATGTGTGTGTCCATTGCCGAAACGGCGGTGGACTGCATGCGTATACCTTCGTGCATATAATATTTATGGGTGGACACTCTGGACACAGCTTCAATAGCACACATACACACACGCACACACATAGACACTCCACACGATTTCGCCCTGCGCTTCGGAGTGCCCGCATGGTCTATAATAATAATAATAATAATAATCGTTTTTATCCTCTACGTTGCGCGTCGTCCTAATATCGTGCAGGCCACAGTTGGTTCTGTAGAGTAGGTATACGAGTATATTATATATACACATAAAAAATTGTAACAATATACATCTGTATATACGCGCACGCGAAGACACAGCAGACGCACACAATACACAATAAGATGTAGGTATACGCTCGTACAGTCGGTTTTTTTTCATTATGCTCGGTTCGTCCGTATAGCGCGCGTGGGATGTGTGCGACTCATCCCGCAGTGTTTACGTGTGTGTGTGTGTGTGTGTGTGTGTGTGTGTGTGTGTGTGTGTGTGTGTGCGTTTATATATATATATAAGTACATGTGAGACTGTCTCGAGTCGTGATCCGAGCGCTCCGCAACGTATTTTCACCCGCAATGCTCTTGGATAACAATATACAATATAATAATAATAATAATAATATATGAAATAATTCGCCCGGACCAATTTGCCGAGTTCCGTGTGCAAATCTCAAAGACTATATAATATATTAGACCTATATATATATATTGGTATACAAAAACCACACGGCTGTATTATTATATGAATCACCTCTCGTCCGGTCGAAAAAAAACTGGATCGTCACGTTTCGCTCGCGCCCGAATCGGGATCGAGCTGATGGACGGCGGAGATTTCACGATATGAAACTGCACGTCGACTGTTAGAACCTAACTTTTTTCGGAACCAAAAATGTTTAGTATAATCTCTATAAAAATTCC